GGCGGTCCCTGTGTTTAGAGTGGTACCATTAACTTCCTATTAGAGCCAATTTGGGGGATACTTTAACTGCCCCGGCAGTACATGTTACAAAGCCGTTTCGGTCTCAAATTACTCACATATTCTGCATAACAGGATCTTAAATCGGTCTCAACTACACGTAACCAACTCATTGACTCAGAGACTAACTACGTGACTAACTGCCTAACAACAAAATAAATTAAGATCACCAAGCACCTGGTAAAGATACCGTCTGAGTTAAGCCGGTGATGATTCATTCATTACCGTGAGTGGCTAATGGTTCGATGGCCGGATTTTGACTCCCGGTAAGAGAATAGGTTTCTCTGTTCTCCACAGCATATAGGCTGGACCTGGGCTCCCAGGCAGCCTCCGGCGGCTCTTACCGCCAGGGGTAAGGCAGCCAGAGCATGAATTTGAGCACCACCCACTTCTAGTACTGATGTTAAGAATGCCACACATTCCCAATATGCATCTGGACTCAGACACTGACAGACTGCTTGTTTATTTACACCTGTTTATTTATACAAATAAATAAATAATGTTTTCCTTCCTTACTCTGTAACCAGCCAACTGCCGGGCCAGAGACGAAGCCCCAAACTTGAAGATCGAGGTTGTCATAATGCGCTGCCTGTCAGAACCACTGCACAACTTAGAGGGCGGTGGCAGATGATTATGGAACAAGCGCGCACTGATGGCGGGCAGGGGATAAATAAAGGAACTCGAAGATGACTCCGTTTCGGTGTAACTTTACCCAACACGAATCTCACATGAAGTCCTCCAGCACTGAATCCAGACCTCTGAGGTTAGAAGCCAGGGTCTAGCCACCTGAGCATGACTATATATAAATACATATGTAAAGTTTCCATTATGTCGTGAATCCGTCTGGAGGGTATAAATAAATTGCCTCTGGGAATGGTTCCGTAACTGGTGGCAGATGGGTTGCATACTGTTCAGGAACAGGATTCCCATCCGATTTGAATGCAGCGAGCAACTCCAATACTTCAGCAGAACCACTCACCACTTCGATCCCTTGTACCTGCAGCTGTACGAGAATCACGTGACTTGCTGATTCCTTCACGTACAGAGGGCGGGACTCCCTTCAGAAGTTGCTAGTGCTGCTTTTCAATTAACTGACCTCACGGAGCAGAAGAGGCTCTTAGTTACTAAAGAAATTAACATTTTTTGCTGAACTCGATGGTTCATCGACGTGTTCACAAGATCCCGTCACTGCTTCCTATCCTGAGCCAGAAGAATCCAGTCCACAACTTTCCGCTTTGGATAGCTCAGTCGGTATAGCGACTGGCTACGGGCTGGACGACAGAGGGGTAAGGTTTCTCTTTTCTCCACGTCGTCCGGCTCGGTTCTTGGACCTATCCAGTGGGTTCCTGGAGCAAAGCGACCGGGACGTGAAGCTCACCATTCACTTCCTTCTAGTGTCGTGGTGAGGAATGGTGGAGCTATACCTCCAATCATCCATACGTCTTCACAGTGCGGTGCTTGATTAGTTAAGCACAGGGAGAACTTGACCTTTACCTTACCTTGGGTGCTTTCCATTGAGGATTTCCAACCAAAATTTTGTATGTATTTCTGATCTCTCCCTTCCGTGCTATGTGTCTCGCTCGTCTCAGTCATCTGGACTTCATTACCGTAACGGATGTGGTGTGCTGCCTCAGTCCCGCCAGGCAAATGCTGGGATTCACTTATTCAGTATAGAGGGGGTGGGTTTCCCCATGCACCGCGACTAATAGTCTATTGTACGTCCCCCTTTAATTTCTACCGTCGCCATACCCTCCCTATACTGGTGCCCGCTATCTCCCCTTTCTGCCAGCGAGGTCGGCCCTCTACTGCCAGTGGTACCCGATAACTCTCCCCTTTCTGTCAGCGAGGTCGGTAGTCTACTGGCATTGGTACCCGATAACTTCCCCATCTACCGGATGCATTGGAGAATACTTAGGCGGGAAACTTTTTGGCCTAATTTTGCTCAGAGGTCTCCTAGAGACATGAGGATCTTTTACGTGCCGTAAACCTACGACACGGGACCCACGGCTTAAAGTCCCTCCCGGAGGACTTGTTCTATGAATATTTCCGCCCCTAAAAATTCCACGACCTCCTCCGGGTTTGAACCCGCGTAACTTGAGTCATGAGGTGGGAACGTTACCCCTAGACTACGGAGGCCGCTAAATGCTGGGATAGTACATCGATTAGACCACGACAGCTTCTATAAAGACCCCTTCCAATTCATCATTCATCTATCATCGACGCCACTGAGTCTTGTACTGACAGGAAGTATAAGATCCGCCGAAGGGCTTAATGTACACAAAACAAATATAAACTGATGCAAAAGAGACACGGCCTTACCCTTTCCTCCCACCATACCGATCACAGCGATGGCTCCTCGATGTTTTCCCATTATACTCATGCCCTTTCAGTTCCTTTATTGAACGAAATATTTCCACTCGTGTTTATTGTATTGTGTAATATAAAGTGACGCATAATTTGTACTGAAACCATAATAAAAAAATAGCTCAAAACTTTAAATCAAAACCTGCACCGTGCTCTTTATTTGGCAATATATATAATGCAGTCAAATACTGAAATCCAATCTCTCCCAGCTTTCTCTATGTGACTCAACTTACGGAAGAGATGTGTCTATGCAGCCAGGAACAAAAATCATTGTAAAAGAACTGATATTTCTCTCATGGTCTCATGCTCCCCCCTCCTCCACCAATTGGAATCAACTGGCTCAGAGGCACAGACGGAGCTGCGTGACGTGTGGCCGCAAGGTACGCTTGCTGGTATAGAATCAGAGAGTAGGAAGTTTAAGAACAGGCCTGTAGGGCGACCCCACGGTAAGTACTCAGCACTTGAAACTGGCGCATGCGCAAAGACGAAGCAGCCGGAGGGCAATTCACTTTCAAACAACTCGCAAAAATAAACTTATTTCGTAAGTCATGCAATTACATGTTTTAACAATTTCTTCCCTCAGTTGAAAACCCTTTGCACCTGCTGAAGCTGAGAACTATAACTGCACTACTTTTTTTCTTTAAAGACAATTGAAATAAATGACGTCATAATTTCACGGCTTTTGTTTCCTGACGCTGAAATTCTAATCTCTCATCTCTGTTCAGATGGTCAGGCTTAAGGCGTACGAAAAGAAGAACAAGAAGTTCTGTGAAGAACTAATCGCCTACTTTCTTTCGATGACACGGGCCGCATAGAAAAGAAGAGAAATAAGAGGGGGAGACACAGACAGATGTACAGACACAGAAGATAAATACGCAGACAGCAAGGTGATCACATAAGTCTCCTTTTACTTCTTCAAAATAAGGAAACTGGGCTAATAAGAACAGGTGATGTACTGTCTAACGAAAGGAATATGACGCCGTGTAGTCCGGTATAAGTTCAAAAACTTTTCGGAAGAATGTGCTGACTTAATATTCACGTTGACGAACAGCCACAGAAACGCGGGGAAAGAAAAGGCTGTGTTGCGCTTACCAACTCTCCGATTATGCAGTATTTGTCTTCCGAAACTTCGGCGAAATTCTATCAGATTCCACGGCGTCACATCGTAGAAGATAATGTTCTAGCCTCTGGTTTTATTTAGCCCTTTCAGAGTGTGGAAGAAGGATGAGCTTAATGAGGAAAGCAAGGAGGGAGAGAAGAAGGAAATAATGATGATAAAGAAGTTCTCCCATTTCTCACTCTCAGACTTCAAGTAGCTACACACGTTACCCTCACCAACACCGCTCTCACTTCTTCTCCATTGCAGCCTCACCTCCAGCTAAGCAAGTGATTTTGAAAAGGGGAATACCGTGTAATTTGACTTCGGGTCATGTGACTAAAACTGTAAGCTACACAACTGAGTGCAGATGGCGTGAGTTGCACATTGCGAAGAAAGACCAGAGATAAAGAAATCTTTCAGAAGACCTAACGTATCTGATCAGGGGCATATTTGTTGTGCTGACGAATCCAACTAAAGGGTATGAAAATCTTAAAAAGCTCCGTTATTTAAGTGCGACCGAACATTACATGTGATACAGCTGAATGGCATTCTGACATAATTCAACTTATGGCGAAATCAGCCTAATGACATTGCGGGTTTGTCTACTGCAGAATTGTCCTGTAGCGCACAATGAATGTTATGCCCTATATACACAACATTGCCTCAACTGTGCCCTTGACACGGTAATTATTCTAAGGAAACTGTGCCATGTTTACTTACTTACTTATTCCGGGAGTTGAGCCCTTCTTGAGGAGCCGCCAGTTGCGCAGCTGCTCAAGAATTTCCCAGAATTCTATGGAACAAGAAGGTTCATTACCGTGTTCACAAGAGCCCTCTATTAGTCCCTATCCTGAGTCAGATCAATCCAATTCATACATCCAATCCTGTCTAAGATCCATTCTAATATTGTCCACCCACCTACGCCTTGGTCTTCCAAGTGGTCTCTTTCCTTCTAGCTTTCCCACCAATAACTTATATGCATATCATGACGTTATTCCAAAAAATTAAAAACGCTCAGTACTGCGAGCTGTTTCCCTTGAACGCATTACAGAACTGCCTCGCACAATCAGCTGTTTTGCAGGTGTATAGCTATTTGCATTGCCTGCGCCTTTTGAATTTCTCTCTTTACGGACAGTGGAGTACTTTTTGGACTAATCGACCTGCAGGTGTCAGCATGGGGCGCAGGGTGTAATACGTGTCACCGGCTGCATGAACAATGATCGATTATCACCACAGAGATCTTTCATTGGTTGGCAGTGACACGCCTACTATACACTTTCATTGGCTACTAGAAGAGCCCCTGCCACATGTCATTGGCTAGCTTGGGGCTCCCCGAGCCCCGCCCCCAACCTGTTCCTCACAGTCAAGCAGGCGCAGGGCCCGTGCCCCGACAGTAGCGCTCGGAAAGGTGTGCGGGGTGTGTTTTTGTGACATAATTGAGGGACGTCCCTCCAGGGGGGGGGGCATGACGGTGCCGGCGTCGCGTGTTTTTTGATGCGCCAGTGAGTGAGTGTTTGTGGGGAAGAACACTTGTGTTTTAGCGTGACGGAAGAAAACCACGGATACCTGCTTTCATCCGGCGAGAACAAGGTAGGCCACGAGGCTGCGGCTTTCGCGCTAAGCATGAGGAGGACGTGACAAAGGGACAGACGGAGAGAACTGTAAGTCTGACGTGTAAACTCGTCTGTAGCACTCTCACTATATAACGACGCTGTGAGTGCATCACAGTGGCCCGCTCAATCTCTGGGATCGTGGGTTCGAGTCCCACTTGAGGCATGAATGTCTGTGTGCGTTTATTCTGTTTGTGTTGTCATTTCTATAGGCCGCGACGGGCTGATCCCCCGTCCAGGGAGTCCTATCGACTGTGTATCAAGAAATTGAAAACGCGGTCAAGGCCCAACAAAGGTTGTAGAGCCACAGATAGACAGATAGATAGATAGATAGATAGATAGATAGATAGATAGATAGATCAGAGTAATCTCAAAGCAGACCTGTCTCTTTAGGGCAAATGTCTGATTCTGAGGCCGGCGCGTTCTCTCAGAGATAGGCACAGAATTCCTGAATCCTGTTCAGGCGATAACGTGTTCGAATACCATTCTGTTATTCTACGTTCAGCAGTTTTCCTGAGTCCCGGAAGAAAAAACTCGGAATAGTAGCCTACATTGAAAGAGATCTTTGTCGTTTCCTTCACGTCCCTTCGTGTTCACCATGGACATGTTCTTCACCTTTCATTCGAGACCTTCTGTACACGGTCACAAATGGGCTGTATGCACTGTTGATCTAATCGACAGACACAACAGATAGACCTGTTGTAATTTTGTAGCTTGCAAAGGCCAATCAATTTCGGTCTTTATCACCAAGGGTTCCTTAATGAGGGTACAATTTCGTTTTCTCTTTTTTTTTAATTTTACCTGGATCTAGCTATTTTTTTCTTCCAACCTCCCCTCACATTCTACTCAGGGTTTTACTACGGTTCCATTGATAAATTTATGTCTTGGAAAACAGGTGCTAATTTTCATTATTTGTGTGTAAATTTGACAACCTTGCCTTCTCACAAATTATTCATACTAAAGACCCCAATATGGCGTGCCTCCTAATTTTGAACTTGGGCTGAAATTTTATGGCAACTGAAGAAAAAGGAAAGAGACAATTAAGGCTTCCCTTAACTGAAATATTAACTATTAATTTTTAGTGAAACATTGATAAGCAGAAAATTAATTACCCGTAAAAATTACAAAGGGCAAGCATGAGCTTTTTAGATCATTAATGGGAATAATATCAAAAGAGAAACAAATGAAACACAAGATTATTAGCAACGGATTAAAATTACCATTGCAATCGAATACACATAGAAGGAATGGTAGAGACAGTAACTCGAAGCCATGGCGTACATACATAGAGGTAACTACCAGTAAACGAAAAAATGTATATATAGGAAGACTTACTCGTATATGTAAGCAGATGGAGAGGCAATTTAGATCAAGTATGGGAAGAAGGAAAAAGATTAAGAAAGTCGTCTTCTGGGATCTGGCGCCGTGTATTCTTGGTTTTAACCGACGTTTCGGAGTAACATATCGCCTCCATCTTCAGGACAGTTGAATTGCGTGCGAATACAGAGAGCAGTAGCTGCATTGCATCAGAGTCCGGTGCTTCCCCGCTTCTTGGAAGCACAATATTTTTAGAAACAATAAAGTACCGTGGCTGTTAGAAAATACGACCGAGAAAAGCAACTACAATCATAATGATTAAGACGAGGACGACGATGATGATGATAATGATAATGAT